CAGAGTATTTTCTACGGCTAGCCTGCGGTCTATAAAAACTGGATAAGCCGTACGGAGACCGTAAGACGACCGTCATTTTCGTACGTTCGCTGCAGACATTTACTGATTTAATTGATCTAGGGTCGACGTACGGCCGCCAAACAACAAATGTGACTTGGGCTTAAGGCTCAATTACATTTGCTCTACGGCGACCATATAACCACCGTAGTTCCCTAAATTCCCACTGCAACCGTATGGAATCTATGGTCGGTTTTACGGTCTCCGTACATCATATCCATTAATTTACAGCCTGTAGAGTCGCCGTAGAAATAATAATAATCGGCCTTTTGGATGTTTTCATTTCTAAGATCACCGTAGAAGTGAACACAGCGTAGCCGAGCCGTAGAAAGGTTCAACGTAAAGCAACCATTTTTCTATTTCCACAAAATCAAAATACAACTACCCTAGCAAATGTGACTGATAAAATATGTGAAACTCGTCCAAGAGATGGGTTTAAATGGGGAAAACAAAATATCTTAAGCTTGGCAATTCTTAGTGCCAAAACACAGTGTTATTGCATCACGTTACTCGCCGGTGATTCTTGTAATCTAAGCGAGAGGCGAATCTTGAAATCTAACCAAGTAAACAATGTAACAAATAATTGTACAACGTGCGAAGGGAGAGGCCGATAATTTCCCATATAAATACCACAAATTACACATCGAGACGGCAGGGGTGGGTAGAGGATGTTATGAATGGCTCTGCTTTATCTCATTGTCTTTGATTAATCAAACGACGCGCAAAAACATACACGTGTGCACAATGAGGAACGATTCCTGAGCCCTGTGTAAAGAGGATAATAAAGCCCGAGAACGTAATGCCTCGGTCACACTTGCTCACACTTAACACGACTAATTAAGCTACGACTCCCTGAGCACCCCATAGTCGTTCGTGGGCGTATCCCCATCTTTTACTGAAATTCAACTACTACCTTGAAATAAGTATTTAACGAGTACATTCTCAACGAACAGATTCTGCGATAGTCGACGGACATTGGTCTCTTTGGGACCCGTGGACGACATGTACAGTATCATGCGGCGGTGGAACTCAACGGCGCAGTAGAACATGCCAGTCACCCCCTCCAGCAAACGGAGGGAAGCAGTGTAAAGGGTATCACAAAGAAAGACGACAATGTAATCGATTTTCTTGCCCAAGTAAGTAGAATGTATTTATATATATGCAGTTCATTTCCTAGGCTATCTGAGGTTAATTGTTCTTTTGGAAAATATGCTCTCTGCTTCAGCATACGAGGAATGACTTGGTCCTTGTTTAGGTTAAGGCCGAATTGCAATATCTATTTTATGAAAGAACACTTGTTAAGATATGCTTTTCGTTAACAGAAATTCATAATTTTGATAAATTCTATGACTTGAATACATACGCTCCTCTCTAAAATTTTGACAACCTTAGGTCCTTCATTGAACTACGTATTAAAGCCTCTTTATGTTAAAAAAATTATTTACATGACCAGCAGGAAAAAACTTATAAAATTGATCGAAATGTAACTAGATTTCCAATGCCTCCAATCTTTCCGAATTTTTTCCTCACTTGTAAACAATAGCTCGAGAATTGATGATAAATCTGATGAATTTTTGAAAATCAACATTCCCATGTAAACCAATGAGAAATGGTAGGTTTGCTGCAAGTCATATGACAGAATATTTATCCATCTGACATCTTGCAAAAATACAAGTTAGATAGTCAATTGAATTTGATAACTTTATTAAAAAATTAATCAATACGTTTCTTCAGGTTATGTTATAGGTCTTCAATTATATATATCTAAAAGTCCTTTAAACACTTAATGAAATTAAAAAAAGTTTCACGTATCGCATTTTGATAAAATTTGGTAACACTGTGCAAAATGTGCGATATCTTAATTTTTCAAAAGATATGCATAAATAGTCTGCAAATCGCTCTAGTATCCCCCAAAATATAGTTAGATGTCAAATATTTGATACAGACCAAGTTGAGTATCATACCAGCCATATCAAACTATTTGATAGTATGCCATAGAATAGGTCCCAAATTATGCCACTTTAAATCATGTCCAACAGTAACTGATCATAATGGTCTAATTCTAAATAGAAACAATTGTAATTACAGGGACCAAACCTCAGATATTCCGGATAACAGACAACATGAAAAATATATTGTTTTGTTAATTCAAGTTTAATGCTTTTGTCCTGACATCCCTAATTATCAAGTACACGTCGCACCTTACACTTTTGTGTATATATTTGAAATGGAAAAAGAAACCAATGTTAATAGCACCAGACAAGCTGTAATAAGCACCCAAGGTCGACTTCTAAATAGAAACAAACGCATTACTAGGGACCAATCTGATGTTTGAATAAGATAATCTAGATAATAGAAAACATGAATAATGAAATGTTAAATCCCAATGTAAAGTTTGAAAATATGTTTTCATTATTCATTTACTAGAAGTTACTTTTGAGATTTCTTTCTAAAAATTTTTATAAGCATTTTAAAAATTTTATCAGCATTTAATTTCATAAATTTTCCAATTTTCCGCCATTTTTTAAATAAAAGTTGAAGTTTTAATCATCGATAGTGGAAAATATTATTTTTTTAACACCAATGCAAAGATTGAATAAAGGACACACTATTTCAAGAATAAAATGTCATATTTTACCACTTTATTGTTTTAGCATATCAAAAATATTTATGCAACCTAACCCCTCTATCACACCAAACTAGTTCTTAGCCGTTCTTGCCAGTCCTACTAAAATGTCGTAAAACGGGCTCAATCTGGCTGCGGTCGGGATATATGTCTAAAATAATTAGCTACTTCGTTCATAAACAGTCCTCAATACGTCCATCTCATTCGCAGTTCGTTCAGGTCGCACCACGTCTTTGTGCAACGTAGTATAAACCGTCCCTTAGTCTAGAAGGTCATCATGACCTGATTACAGAACGGTATGGTCGCCATCGAATTTTGAATCGATTCAAAATTCTAAATCACATACCCCGTCCGGGAAAGTCCATGAAGTTCGTAAACAGACCGTAGAACGTTGTAGCTACGTTCATTCAGTTCGCACACAGTTTGAAACCGATTCGGAAACGTTTTGACGATCACCAGAATTTTTTTTAGCATGCTCTAAGTGCTGGAGGACCTACTCGTTCTAGTAGTTTCATGAAGTTTGTAAACAGATCCCAAACGGTTTTTAGTGGGTTCTTAGTACGGCAAATCCGTTCGTGCACAGTTTAAACCCGTTTTCGAGAACGTAGTGAGAACTAGTTTGGTGTGATAGTAGGGTAAGTGAACTCATCGAGATTTCACTCAGGTGGCAAACTTTTTGAATAAGAAATGAAATTATTTTTCTATGTTAACATTTTGCTTAATATGCTTAACTTAAAAATAAACCAATGTTGATTATCTGACCAGGTTAAGAGGAAGAATATACTATGTTTTAAATAATATTGAACCATTGATTTTTATGAAAACTAAAATTTTGTAATGCATTTTTATCTGAACCATTTTCATGCATCAATGAGCTTATCTTTTTTTCTCTGCACAAAACACTTTAGAATGTATGCCATGCATTGGAGTGAATTATCGCTTGTTAAGAGATACATGTATGTGTGACCTCTAAAAGTTAGATTTAAGCACTCCTTGAAATTAAAATAAAGTTCACATATCACACTTTTATAACTTTCGGTTAGACTAAAATATACGCATAAGTGGTTCAATTTAAACTTTATATGGGGGCATTAAGTGACCCTTGCACAAGTTTCATATTCTTGTGTTAGCTACTCTAAACGTATATACAGGGTGGGCCAAAAAACCAATACCCAACTTCAAATCAGGATAAAAATAGTTTCATTCAATATGGTACATTGACTCACATACCATTTTAAAGGTTATACAATTTCAAACAATTTGGTATATAACACGATGTCATGAAATCAATAGTAAAGTTTTATTATACTTATTTGGGAGGCCGGGTCGCTATTTAAGGTCTCCAGATTTAAGGGAGAAAATAGTAAATTTGCGGAATTATGTTAATTTTTATTTATTTATAGAATGTCATTCTTCTGTTAGGCGAATACATGCTTGGATACTGATATTTTCATCATTCTGTGACTAAATTTATTGTTTATGAATTTCAGTGTTGTTTAATAACATTTTACACTTTATTTATTAAACAATTTTCACAATTGCTCAATATACCCCCACCCCTCCCATATGCATCAACAATAAGCTTCAAGTGGTAGCACAATCTATCAATAACCTTATTGAGATATTTCTGTTGCAATTCATTTCAGCATTTGGGATTCTGTTTCAGCACATCAAAGCTGTTTATTGGATGCTTTTGATTGCACCATTTCCTCGAGATGGCTCCATGTATCATAATCAAACAAATTACATGTAGCATGGGGGCTGTTGGGTGGCCAAGCATCGAGATCAATCAAATTGACACCTTGTTTGCAAAGGAATGCCAATGTTGCTTGAGATCTATGATACGGGGCAATGTCTTGTTGGAAAATAAAATCCTCGTCACATATACGTTTATTGTCTTTTAACAGACCCCCTTTGAGTACTTATTGATAATAAACAACACTAAAATTCATAAACAATAAGTTTAGTCACACAATATGCAAATATACAAGCATTTATTCACCTAACAAAATGATATTCTATAAATAAAAATTAACATTTATTCCGCAGATTTACTATTTTCTCCCTAAAATCTGGATACCTTAAATACTGACCCGGCCTCCCAAATAAGCATAATAAAACTTTAATATTGATTTCATGACATAGTGTTATATACCAAATTGTTCGAAATTGGATAACCTTTAAAATGATATATAAATCAGTGTATCATATTGAACATAGCTATTTTCAGTCTGCTTTAAAGTTGGGTATTGTTTTTTTTTGGCCAACCCTGTACATTTGCTTAACAATGATAATATTTTATAATTTTATTATTTAGATTGTGGTCGGATTTGTCCAGACGGTGGTATCCTAAGCCAGGATTGTTCAGTTTGCACATGTGAGGGAGTGGTATTGCATGGGAGAGTGGCTACAACTGATGGGTTCCCTTTAGCTAATACGAGTGTATATTTAAAAACCCGTATGTGGGATGCAATAGGATCAACTGACACTCTTGGCTTCTTTAATATTCAAGACATATGCCCAAGGAATACGATACTTGTGTTTAAAAAGACACAATTCATTGACATTACTAGACCTATCCAACGGCAGAATGCAACACATCATGGCGTTCAAGTCAAAATGGAAAGAGCTGGTGAGTATTATTTCTCGAATATGATTTCAAAAGTAGAAATTGCGAAAAGACCACATGCGAACATATAAAGTCACACGATCTAATCACAGAACGGTGGTCTGCATCGACTTTTGAAATGATTCAAAATTCGAAATTTCCTTCCCGTCCGAGCACGTCCATAAAGTTCGTAAATATATCGTAACTACGTTCGTTCCGTTCGCACATCGTTTAAAAGCAGTTCGACAACGTTTTGAGGAACATAATGGAAATTATTCAAAATTCTAAATGACCTCCCCGGCCAGGCTCGTCCATGAAGTTCGTAAATAGACCGTAGGAAGTTGCAGCTTCGTTCATTTCGCTTGCTCACTGCACTTTAAAACCAGTTCGGTAACGTTTTTTAAGAACTTGGTGGCAACTACTTTGGTGTGATAGCTACATTTTGTTAACGTGTTCCTAAACAGTCTTTCGTACGTCCTTAATCAATTTAAACACGTTTTTAATTAGTTCTACCTCGTTCTCGGACAATTCAACTTGTTCTAAAAACGTCCCTACTAGGATTAAAGTATGACAGTTCCGTTCGTATTACGTCCAGCTAGTCTTACGTACGTGACTCTGGTTCCAATTGTAGAAATAACTTATAATATAACTTATATTCTTGATAGAGATTCCTTCAAATTTTTTCGGCCTTGTTTGCTTCTATTGTATTACACGGTGCGTTTATTACGTGAAACAGTTTTTTAATAAAGTAACACGAAAGTGAGTAAACGGCCTAAAAGTTTATTTTCTATACTCCAAGTTAAAATTCAATCCAAGTACAATATTTTACATATTTCCCTACGTTGTGTTGTGATCGTTGATAAAAACTGTTCTAAAGATGATTTTCTGAGATGGTACGAAAGAATAGTCCGAAAGTATGGAAAGTTCCACAGGGAAGGTTCCAAAAAGGAGGTGAATAATAATTTCCCATTATTACCAAATATATGAACCAATAATGAACAAATTAAAGATAATATCAAATTAAATCTACTGGACTTCCTAAACCCCCTCTAAATGGTTTCAAATGTTGGTTCCCAGAAGGAACCAACATTTGAACCAATAGAAAGTCAAGAAGATTATGTAATACATTAAAAGATCCTGAACTTTAAATCCTCCTTTATGAGAATTAGAACTTTCCTGATAGAAAAGACATAACAATATGAAAAGAGCCAAGATTTTAATGTTATTTATGAATCATATCACGTATTGAGTGCAAGTGAACTAAAGAAGAATAAAGAATAGAAATGATGTACATCAAATGTATAGAACAATAACTTATATCTTGAAACCTAAATCAATTTGATATAAAAATGAAGTTTGTACCAAAATTTGATGTATATGAAAACCTAAACCCTATTTCATACGTTTATTTTTGTTTTTCTTTTCAATTTCATCAGCTGGAAGTGCAGTGTAGCGAAAAACGTTCGTCTGCCATATTGGATTTTTACTATACCACTTCATGAAAATAATAGTCCATGGTATGAAATCTCTAGGACGTCTAATGAAGGAGCTGGTAGCACACTATAGCGCAGCGATATTTGACCTAACATTAGCATACCTACATATGTCCCCTAATAATTTTTATTATAACCGTTTAATATACTTCCGGCTTTAAGGCTGAATTATGCCTGCCATTAACAGAGGTCAAAAAATTTCCAAAAAATAAACTTCCAAACTTTCACAATTTGGAGTACACAATGCAATAGCAAATAATAAAATATGATTTTAAGTATATGATTTAGGTTTCTAAGCTAAAAGTTTGACGTTATTTTTCTTATCAATACCAAAAGATTATGTCATCAGTGTATCGACATTTTTTATTGTTTCTCGGGTATTAATAAGATAAATGCTACAAATGAATCACTTTCATATTAGAATGACAAATACTTAAATTATGCTAGGTTTTCACAAAATTGGTCTCAATACGTTTTAAGATATGAACTTTTATTCAGCGGTGAACATTATCAATAAAGGTGGGCCAATTGCTCTTCCTTGACTAATTGCGACTACAGCTAAAATTCTATTTCTCGTAGTTAGATATAGCTCAGTTGCTTATGAAACAACCATCAAGACTTGGTCGAATTCATGAATAATTGAGAAAAATCTTCCTAAACTTTGATTATATCCTTCGGTAAGGTCAAAGAAGAAACAACCATCAGAAAACTTGATGATAGCCACAACTAACGTCGAGGAAGAATTTTAAGGCGTTCGACTGCATATGACTCTACTTGATTATTAGACATGCTCTTGGAATATATGAACATGCAAATACCTCTGTAACATCGAATTAGATATGAATCTTACCTATTTGTTATTGTATTTTGTTTTATAAAACATCGACAATAATTTGTTGTGAGACACTTTACGATTATATGGAAAAATTCTGGTAGTGAAATGTTTTAACTGGTAAGAAAACTAATACGTTCCCAATCAAAAAAAAAACCCTAAATATTCCATACAATTTTGTTGAATCGGCTTAGCTCATATTTGAAAAATCAAACAAAATCTGAAAAACACACTTGTGTAATTACACTAATTGATGATTTGTGATCACCGAATGGATTCTATCTTGTAGTGACGTCACAATAGGGCCACCCAGCTTTAGATGTTTGATTTTGATAGATTATCTTCTATATTTCGTGCTATATTGATTTATTTTTCACGAAAGCGTTCGATTTGACTAGATCAGCATTCATGCTAAGCACATACCAAGTCTACGATCTTACTGACATGATTTAGATAGCGGTTAAGCGCCCCTCGATTTTGACAAAAACCTGGTAAATATCCGACCCATGGTTTTCATAAAAGAAACGACAATATTTTTAGCTCAAAACTGCCAGGTGTCCGCCATTTCGTGATTCCATCATGTCAAATATCATTTCTATATGACGTCACACCAATAAGACAAAATACGTGACAACAGTATCCATAAACAAAATTCCTGAATTCTGATCGCAAAAGGTCAATTAAACACCGACATCTACAGTAAAATCATAGTAATTTTGACATTATGATATTCAATTTTTTTGTGCGCATGCTTAGAATAACAGTCCGCGTCTTATAAAATGTATAAAAATTCGAATAAAAATATTTACGTTTTTGACCCCTTGTGATGAAATACATTTTTCGACCCGAAAGCCAGAAGTTTTTTCAGCAAATGGTATTTTAAAAGAATCAAGACATATACACCTTCATAAATATTGCTTTAAATTTTGCTGCGCTATAGTGTGCTACGGATCTTTCATATTCGGAAGTCATACCATGGACTATAATGTGCATGCTTCACATTGATTTCTTATATTTACAGATGCCTGGTTTTATCCTAAAAATATAAATTATGATGATCACAGTATCATTTCTGGTATTTGATCAGATATTTCTAGCAAAATACAACAATTAGCAAGTGTTGGTGTAAACTAATCGCCATTGATTTTTTCAGTAATAGTCATATCTTGGATGGAAATCTGGAGCGTTGGGATACTGTACCGTGTCCCAACGCTGACGTCATTTTCACTCTGTATTCAACGCTAAATGGAAAGTGCGTGTAAATACAATATATATTTAAAGAGGCTCTATGCCATAGGATAGCACAATCAAGACCCCTCTGGATTTTTTTGCTTATTGAGTTTCACCACATATTCACCCATCTACTTATGAAAGAAGAAGTCCCAAAACTCCCTCTTTCAGTGTGAATTTTGCGATTGTGCTGGCCGGTGTAATTACTTTCGCAGATATTAATTCAATCTGAAGTTTGAATATACTGGGAAAGTCCTCCTGTTATCTGATCTACTCGTTGAATTTGTTTACCATGAAGCTGATCGGCTAGAGGAAACGATTGTGTTTAATGTTGGATGTTGGTTGTTCTGTTGATTATTTCAATAGTTTGACAATAATATACCAAAAAGTTATTCTCAATATCCATGGTATATGCGATATTATATGAGCAATAACGATAAGACATCATTGATTGTCTGGGGAGAAACCTATGGTATAATGCATCTTTAAGCACATGAACCGATAGATAGCAGGGAATTTCACAGATAGCAGGGAATTTCACTATCGTGGAATACATTTATTTTGTAAAGTAAAACGCAATGTTATCATTATGTTTATTACAGCAGGTAATATCATAGGGTACGAACTAAAAACGCGCAGAGTACGGAACAACACGAGGTGTATGAAATTTTAGCAAACAGATGTTTTCATCGTTTCAGAAAGATCTGGTCTACATGTAGTTTCTAGATATTTTAATTTTTTATTTTTTTTCGGTCCAACCTTCACAAATTGCGAACATAATATACGATATAGCGCGCGGTAACGGTAAGGTACGACACAAGGAAGTTGAATTTGCGTTATACAGTTTCTTACTCTCGCGTTATACCGTATACTTCAGTCGGAGTTTGTGTAGGTTTAACTATGGAATTCACGATCAAGCTCTCTGCCCATGATGATACAAACATTAATGTAACATAAAAAAGTATCTAGAAACTAGACCAAATCTTTCTGAAACATTGAAAATATATGTTTTCTCACATACCATCACACTCGTGATGTACCGCATCCAACGCGTTCAACTGTCACTTGGTACAAACCCTGTGAATACGTTCAAATTGCATTTTAGTTCATCCACTCATTACGGAAAGACCCCGTCCAAGAGCACGTTTCGTCGGCCAAGCTGTCAAATTCTGTTGTGCGGCATCGGGGTACCCATCTCCGGATTCCTATGAATGGTAATTTTGTTTTGCATGGCTTAACAAAGCCCAAGCTTAATCTAATTAATACACTTGATGAATGCGTAAACACAAAATTCCGCTGCTTTCATTCGTAAAAAGTGAAATAGTAATTTTTATTTTATTTTGTATCTGTATTATACGAGGGTTGGTCATAAAGTTCTCATAATATCCCTCTAATTTCTATATTTTTCAATATATTCTAATAAAATGTTCACAGAATGTGCAGTATAGAATGTTTCATTGAATCAGATAAAAATATTTAGTTCAACGGAAATATTAAATAAGAAATGGTTGCCATAGTAACGGGAAATCAAGGCACTCGGGGCAAATAAAAGTAATTGAGAGAATTGCTCTAATTAACCATTTTAACACACATAATAAACTCTCATAAATTACCAAACAAGTTAAAATGTTAACTTAAATATGTTGTTAAGTGCTTTTACTATTAAAAAAATTGATCATGTGGATTGTGTGGTGTCATAGGGGATGATTTCATGCTTCATTAGATGTGATACCAGAGTCTGAGACTCAAAGCTAATAATCAGAGATGACTGTGTAAGAGAATGCAATAGATGCAGAGATCTTCAGAAAAATAAAATTCATATTGATAATATGTTATGCTAAGTTTGTAAGATCCTTTGGACAGACTGAACATGATCTAAAACAAATATATTGCTAAGGTATTAACAAAATTACACCATGTGTGGTCTCTTCGTACATGTTAAAAATAAACTAAAGGGGCAAAATCAATTTTCCTCGGGATATTTGACAAAACAGTCATGGGGTCTAACAGTCACTTGTAATGAAGCATAACAATCATCCATTATGAGATCACACAATTCACATGATCATTATAATAGTTCACAACAGTCAAGATCACATATTATTTGACAATTTAATGTGTTTGACAGCTTATTTGACAACTTATTACGAGTATGTATTTAAACATGGTTAATAGGGGGTATTCTTGCTAGTTTTTTTTTATTTGCCCCGGGTGCCTTGATTTCAAGTTACTATGGTAACAATTTCTTATTTGATGTTTCAGTTATCCTAAATATTTTTTGCTGGATTAATAAAACATTCCATGCTACACATTCTGTGAAAATTTCATAGAAAAATATCGAAAAGTAAAGAAATTAGAGAGATATTATGAGAACTTTATGATCAACCCTCGTATTATACATTCTTTGCATTGGTTGAAATACGCAATTTGTTGTTATAAACGCATCATTTCAGTTTTAAATTGAAATTCTTATACAACATATTGCCAAAAATATTATATTGCTTATTCTGATATTCTCATTCACATTAGATTTAACGCAATGTATCTCTGTTTCAAGTGCATTAAGGCAATGCAAGCTAATGCTCTAATTTAAAATAAATATAATTCCTTTTCATAAAAATTCTACGGAAACTACCGATATGGATCTGAACTGATATTACATTATTATTGTATTAGGTTTAAAGATGGCGATGTCATAGAAGGAACTAAGTCTCCCGAGTCTGAGTATGTCATAGAAAACCTTAACGTCGATCACCAGGGCAGTTATGCATGTAGAGCCATCTCAGACATTGGTTTCAAACTGTCACTTCCGGCTTTACTCACAGTTTCAGGTTGCTATCATTATTATGTGACTATATATATCGTATAATGAATCTCACATTTATATAGCTACGACTACCAATGGATCAATTCAGTTTGATGACAGTTTTAACCCTAGTTTTTAAATGGTAATTTTAAATTGGTAAACGTTTTCCGCGTTCTCTGTTGAAATATAATTGAAATACGTAATGCAATAGATTTAAACTGTATTGGTCCGAATATAACGTATCAACATCACAATAAGCTAAATATTATTTTTTATGATTTAATATTCCATGGTCTTTCTACTTTCCATTAGATACCTCTAGTATGTATTTGTGTGATTGCGTGTTTTAGTATTTTAATACTACTTAATATAACTTTAGATGTAAATGATACCTGCAAGAAAATTCCCAATGAGCGTTTGGTGACACTTCCGAATGCATGCTTTTATAATCGTTCTTCAACATTAGACTTGGGGAAATGTGATGAATCGACATCTTGTTGGAAATCTACTGACGAATTTGAACAGAACGTCTGTCATGATAATTCATCACAGTGTTGTTCTGCAGTCAGATCAATGGATATTACAATAAATTGCGATGAATTTTCATACACTCTAACGAAGGTGCTCGAATGCGGATGCACTGAATGCTACAAGTCCGAAGATAACATTGAAGGGGCAGTCGTAAGGGGCGTTGCGAGAGGGATTGTAGATGGCAGTGAAGAGAAACTTTCTTACGGGGAGGTGTGGTTCGGTAAAACACTTGTTACCAAAACCAATCGCTATGGACAATTTAAAATCTCAGTTCCAAATGGGAAAGACAGATATTCTGTGGTTTTCAAAGATCCATTTGTCCGGTTTGCTAATACAGTTGTTGTGCTAAGATTCGTTAGGGGTGCAACAACTGTAGAAAATGTTCGTCTTGTACAAAAGAAGAAACCAATCCCATTTGACTCTGCCCTAGGAACTGTTTTCACAGTTGGGAATGTTGAAAATAAAAAAAATCCATTAACATTCAAGATCCCATCGTATTCGATGGTTACCGAAAATGGTTCGTCATACGCAGGTAATGTCCAAGCGAACGTCAACTTCATTGATCCAAGAAAGGCATCGGACGTCTTGTCTGCCCCGGGTGACTTTTCTTCGGTCGACGAAAATGGCGAATCCTTAGAGCTGCAAACATTTGGAATGTTTGACATTACCTTAACTGATGATAAGGACAACGCTTTAGGTGCTTCTGGTGACATTGATTTTGAGTTAGACACAGATTTGATTGACGTTCCAACAAACGAAAATGGTGATCCAGCTGTAGCATCGTGGGGTCTGGATGCGGAAAGTGGTCAATGGGTAAAATTGGATGACCTTAAAATCAAAACCGAAACCGTAACTGTATATGACAGTGGGAATCCTATTACTTTCACGAAATCGTTTGTAATCGGAAAATGGAGAGTAGATAACCTTCGTTCACTCAACTACTGTAATATAGATAGCAGATTAAGGGGAAGTTATGTGAAGGTAAAAGCATTTTCGGACATGAACTTAAAAAATGGGATGCAAAAAGCTACAGTAAATGTATTATTAAAACCAAGTGATTCGCAGCAATACTATGGGTACACCTCCGCAAACAGTAACCGGGAAGGGATAGCATGTGTGCGTACAGCCTCGAAGGTCTCGTCACGGAGCCCGATTCCATCTGTTACTGCAGAAATCATTGTCGAAAATTCCGACGGGGAATTGCTCTCGGCAGATAAGAATCATAAGCTACCACCGAACTATCCGTTTCAAAATGATAAGGATAATAAGATGACACGATTTCAGACTGACATGATTGGTTCACCAATTCAATATGGTCCGATGTATCGTTACAGCGGTTGCTCCGGTCCTGATTATCATTTCAGGTATGATCGGAAATTTATAAGTGCATCAAAATTATCTTACAAAAAATACATTTAATTAAAATTCAAAGTGACCTGCGAAGGAATCTACATTCCTACAGTACATGTACACCGTACTCGTATGTTTCAGTTTCTTTAAAAGTCCAAGCTTCATTGAGGAACCTGAACATGAACATGAAGAGAGACCCTTCAGACGTGATTCCTGGTGGCAACCGGGAGACGATGCGCAGAACTGTTATATCAAGGTTAAGATAAAGGTAAATACATTTCTAATATGAACCGTGGGCTTTAAAGAAACCGTGTATCGATTGCATGACTACCTCATGAATTTAAAATATGCTTGGAGTCGGATGATGGAATTATTAAGGTGTAATACTTGCAAGAGTATAATTAGGTTAAAATTGTAGTAGTCATATTTTTTCTATCGCTATATCCTTAATTTAGATATTTGCTTAAGTTAGATACATTATAGTTTAATATACTAGTATACCACTACGGCGCGGTAACCATATTGTCTCCCTATACAATACAAGTAAGAACTTAACATTACTGTCTTTCTCAGTGATTGTCACCATTTAATCATTTGTAGTCCAGTTCAGCAGCTATATCATTTCTGGCAGAGAGTGGGAACGCTTTAGAAAAAGGCACGAAATTTGGTACTTTCAAAGTAAAACCTAGACCTAACATAGAGGTGAATGTAGAAGGACAAGATAGGGCCGCATGTATACTGTTTCGTTGCCCAGGGACAACACCTGTTAATGTTGGAGGCCGACTGATTGACATCAATGTGGAAACATCTGTATCGGTAAATATCCTGGAACATGGCGGAAAGTGTAAAGTTAGGTAAATGCATTTTTAAACATGTTCATCTTTGAGTTTTGGCAGCAATCGCTCTCTGACATTTAGCACTATCTAGTAATCAAATAGTACTTTTCAAGTCACATACAGGATGATCCAGAAGTAACGTCAAAGGTGTTGGTATTTCAATACTACTTGACCAATCATCTTGAAATTTGCCACAGATGTTCCACAAAACATTACTGAGTAATAACTGAATGATATTTCTAAGTTCCCTTAACATTACTTATATCTAAAATTAAAGCTTCTACTATATTATTACTTCATTTCATAGTTACGATGGTATCCCGATTTTACACCGGGTTTTTATAGAAATATAAAAAATAGAACGATTCTCGGCCCATTTGATAAACCTAAATGAATATAAATAATTTTTTAATGTACTTCTCATTTATTTCAATTCGAACGTTATTTTTTATTAAGTCCTATAAATCTGTAGCTATTATGATTATGAAAAATATCTTGGCAGAGAAGTACCGAGGAAAAAACAGGAGGGAATTCATCCGACCCCCCCCCCCTGTACACATTAGGGTTGAATTGTTCAACAAGGCACACAGTAGCAAATATACGACTAGGATGGATAAATAGCTTTTTACTTGAAAAACGTCGTGTTTTAGATCCATCAAAGATCGTGTGCAAAGAGAGTATAACGTCCAAGCTAGTACAACGCGGTTCACCTTTAAGGCAGATGATGTTGATACACCGCCAATAGGGGTATACGTTGTCACAAAAGATGATGATGCTGAAAACTTCTGTAGAAATGGAAAGAGAAGGACCCCTGTTAATGAGACAATGGTACCGGATGCGAATTTCGCTTTGGAGTACGACTGTACATAGTTAAGCTCCATCAGTAAATGAAAGTTGAATGTATGCAAAAGGAAAAAAAATTACGTGTGATTTTATTAACCATTTAGCCCTTGGAGAAGACTAGTCTCGGTTTGAAGAACTACACAGCCAATGTGCAACTCAACTGTACCGTACGGTACCATTTTGGATAGGGTACCGTAAATATGACACCATACGGTACTGCAGACTAAAATGGTACCGTACAGTACTATGAACAGTGTACAGTGCCATACTCAAACGGTTCCGTACGGTGCCATACTCTTAATGTTCCGTGCGTGATTTTAGAGTGCAGATTGGGGGTGTTAGTCAATCAGTCTACTGCACGTTACGCCTGCTTTGGACAATTTTGATATTTTTACCTATTGTCGCCTTAAAGTCTCCGATAAATCGGACTACGTATACCGCCGTGGTTTCATTAGGGGATAGAAGAGTTTATTTTTATTTAGGTATGCAAGCAATATCAATATTAGGCCTTCATGTATGTTCTCGTGTGTACAATCAGCATGTCCTTCAATATTATATAAACCAGGCTATTCAAGTACTACATAATGTACACTATTTATGTGTGTACTACATTGGAATACGATTCCCTGGGAAACACAAATACTTTTTATATGTTCAAAATGAGCTATTTGATTGATGCATACACTTATCTCTCTTAGTGCCGCAATAAATTTCAAAACATATATCTCAGTGCCACATTAATTTTGAATCAGACAGCTTTTTGACATATTTTGCACTTCCATCATTCAAACCTGAATTTTAGACTTAGTTTAGAACCAAATGCAATGAAACTTGACATGGTGTATCATAATAACACTGGCTTGAAAATGCATGTACAACGTTATGTCAATGGCTGTGCTGGTTACCATGGTAACCATATTAATCTTGAAATCTTATAAAACATGAAAATCGTGAAATTTTCCAATTTGAAGACAATATTTCTTATTACTGGTACCAGCGCATTCCATCTTAATTTCGGTTTTGGAACACAGGAATCGTCTCTTACTCAAAAAACACATTTATCACGTCTAGATAGTGTATCCAAACTTGATGTGCTGATATTAGGATATGATTGATTGATGTCCTAATAGGTTTCAAAACAGACGTCTCAGTCCCGCATTGTCTTTAAATCGGACAGGTTTTTGACATATTTTGCACTTCCATTATGAGAACCTGGATATAAGACTTAACCCTGAACCAAATGCAATGAAACTTATCATGGGTCATGAAAATAACAAAGGCTTGAAGATACATGTATAACACCAAGTGATGGCGTTGTGGGTTGCCATAGTAACCATATTCACCTTGGTATCTTTAATAACAAGAAAATATTCAAATATCTCTGTTCAAAGACAATGGTTTTGTATTAGCAATATCAGCACATTACATGTCATTTTTATAGTTGTTGCATGTCAGAATTATTTCTTATTCAGAATAAAACATTCTAAATTAAATAAAGCATACAGTGTAGGGTTGTATCCAGATGTTTATATATAATGTCTTAATGTGATGATACGATTTCAAATATTGAAGTCTTTGTGACAGTCATTATCATTTAAATATTATAAAGTATAACATTTTGTAAAGATTTTTTTGAAACTGTATTGCTGAAATACAGATATTTCATTCAGTTGATAATGAGTTGTTGTGACATTTGCTATGGGTCATCATGATGACATTATCTTGAAAGTTCATAAGAAACTTTAGTCCACTTAACATATCTGTTACCATGGTAACCATATTAAATCTCAGGTAAAAAACATCAGGTAAAAAAAAATATATATATAGAATTTCAAAAAATTTCAATTTCCTATTCTGAATTATTTAGCCTAGTCTATGCTAAATCAAGAATGATTGAATCAGCAATTAATACTTACTCTTTTATGAGTTTGTATTTGTATTTTATTTTCAGAAGATATAAAAAAATAAAAAGGATGTGTGCAGAAGTAAAATTATATAATCAAGAATGATTGAATCAGCGATTAATACTTACTCTTTTATGAGTTTGTATTTGTATTTTCTTTTCAGAAGATATTAAACAATAAAAAGGATGTTTACAGAAGTAAAATTATATAATCAGTTGTCCACCCTGTAAATGAAAAATGTTTACCTTTCTGTATTTTGATTACTGGAGTTCACCTCTAAATGATATCTTGGGAAGCATCTTCCAATACAAAGAACAATGCACCAGTTTAATTGTTGATTTGTAAAGATGCTATGTTGAGCATCAATATTATGTGTTGCCATTCATGTTTGTGAAAATAGGTATATGTTGTAATATTAACTACACATCGGAAGAATGCCTTCTTCGTGCCATATATTTGTGTTTTACATTGAACAATAAAATGTAAAACATTTTTACTGGCTCAGCACAATTCTTTTCTCCAGACTGATTATAAGTACACTAAACTGCAACAATAATCATTTATTTTCAGATTCACTTTTAAACTTCTGGCTCATTAGGTTGTGTACAGTACCAGGTATCTTATCAATTAAATGATATTCCTTCAATCTCCTTTCAAAGGCATTATGCCTTGGTGTCCAAATAAATGTCGTTGTTCTCGTGTCATCTGTAAATCAAGTTTATTTCCATAATGGTAACTGAATCCAGGAATCTGTGCCAGTCATCTTAGCTGTTGACTGAAAAACAACAAATGAATTGGAATAAATTATATGCACTTCATGCAATTACATTTATGCAATTTGTACTTGGTTGGGGATGATTTCATCAACAACAGAACCACAGGGTGAGCCAAAAATGCCACTTTAAAAAAAATGCTTTAACTTTTTTATTACCCAACCTGCATGCACACAATTGTGCAGTTATAAAGGGCCATTGGTCCTGATTAATAAAGTAGGCTAATGTAATGAGTACTTTAACTTAGGATTTTATTTGCTCTTAAAAGAGATATTCAATTGGTTCATCACCCTTTTTGATGATAGTTTTAGTTTTGGTTCTCATGCTGATAGAGCATTATCAATGAAATGTTGGCTAAGTTTCTTCCAACATTTCATTGCCCATTTTCTGGAAACCTCTCTAGTAAACGTGTACAATTCATTATGCATGGCTGGATTGCATTCTCAAGTTTCTTTGGGTATAAATATGATTTTGGATCAAATATTAAAAAAGATTATTTAACCCATGTATTATAACATACTAGAACTCCATAAAAAATTCAAATATACAATTTAACTTTGTTCTATGTTTCACTTTAACCAATCAAATCGTTTGAATTACACCATGTGACTAAGAATTATTATAATACAATTTTAAACCAAGAATTGAATTTATTTTTGAAAAAAAAATGATTAGAGAAATTTGTGTCCATTGAAAATACATAGCAAAACGGACATAGTTCAGCTTTTATCTTTCAATGTTAGTGATACGAAAAACTGCCTAAACTTTCAAAAATTGATTTCTCCATTTCACAAAAATGTGAGTTGGGACATTTTCATTCTCATAGGGCGATTTGTAAAAGTATTATTACCTGTTGTTATTATCAAATGTGATGCAATTGACACTTTTTATCTTAATTTAATGTTTTCATAAAAAGTCAACTTTTTCAAAATATGACAAATAATATTTGGATGATTAAACATGGGGCCATTCATAATAAAATATTACTAGGGATTTTACATAAATAGCCATACCTGCAGTCATAAATTGTGGTCATATAATCTGCTAGATCGACTCCTACTTTATTCTTTTAGTATTTGTGTGTATCATTTCAGGTTGATGTTTTCTACTGCACTGCTCCCATGACAGTTATAACTAAGCTATGTATCTCTGGAAAACAAAATTGAAACATGAATAAATATTCCTTTCAAGTATAGTCAGCTATGAGTATAAGGCAGGACAGGCAACTGTTTTTTCAAAGTTTTTGTATAAAATTGTAAAAATTATGTCACAAAGAAATATAAAATTTGCTCTTTGACTAACATTTTAACTTGCTGTGGTTACTTTTGGATCCTATGTTCAGTAACTTTAATAATAA